TTTCTGTGTTATGGAAAGGAATGTTAAGAACCCTCGTTGCTTTATATAGAAAAAAATGCTTTATTCTAGCATTTTCTAAAAATATCGTGGGTAATCTGGCTTCCTCATGTCTTTTGCTATTTGATGGTATAACCTTCTTACTGATTTTCTTGCTTGTTCTATTAGCTGCTGCGAGGTGTGTGAAAATCTCCCATGGGATTGTGGATGTGCTGTTTTTCTACTTGTAGTTCTGGCAGTTTCTGCTTTACCTATTTTGGGGCTCTGGTGCCCTCCAGGGACTGAACTGGGAAACTCAGGCATGGTCATGCTTGTCCTTTGTTTCCCAAGGAGCTCTGTGGTCTCATGTCCTTGTGACTTTGCCCCTGTGCTCTATTCTTCTGCAGACACCTGGCCTTATCTGCACGTTTATGGCTTCTCTTCCCTCCCTGGAGCTTTAGCTCTGAGACGGCTTTGTCTCCTGGTGGGGTTCATTCTGTGTGCCTGGAACTTAACAGGCTCCACAAAATCTGGAGGGAATGAGCCCAGAGAGTCACAGGCTACTTGTCTAATGGGCCGTGATGAGGAAGAAAGGAACATAGTACAAACTTAGGTACCAGGACTGATAGTAGAAGCCAGGTTCTCTTAGAAGGGGATGTAGGTGGGGAGGTCTGCTGTATAATCACCATTTTTATAGAGATGGTGATTAATGCGCATCAGAAATTACATAGGAAGGGGGCTGAGTGCAGTGGCTCATGCCTGTAATCGCAGAACTTTGGGAAGTTGAGGCAGGTGGATCACTTGAGATCAGGAGTTCGAGACCAGCCTGGCCAACATTGCAAAGCCCTGTCTCTGCTAGAAATACAAAAATTAGCCGAGTGTGGTGGCAGGCACCTGTAATCCCAGCCTCTCAGGAGGCTGAGGCATGAGAATCATTAGAGCTTGGGAGGCAGAGGTTGCAGTGAGCCAAAATTGCACCACTGCACTTCAGCCTGGGCGACAGAGTGAGACTCCCATTCCCGCCCCGCCCCCCCAAAAAAAAAGAAAAAGAAAAGAAATTGCATAGGAAGGGAGGATTGATTACTAATACATAGTGCTGGGACAACTGGTTAATTATGTGCTAAAATAAAAACAGTGAGATATTCACCTCTCAACTTGGACCAAAAGATGGTTTATATGGATCAAAGAAACCCCCCAAAATGGCAGAAAATTTGGTTATGTTATCTAATTTCCAACTAGGAAAGAACTTCAGAATGTTATAGTCAGTTTATAGACTTGGGATCAGATTACAATAATCTATTCTGACGTTTTTCCCACCTGACATGTAAGGAACATTTATGTGTGTCATTATTTATAAATGTGGTTTATTTTATTTATACTGTAAAAGGTTTTCTTTATTATAAAAATGCTCTAACATACCTGTATTCATTTCATTATTAAGAAAAGTTCTTACAAAGTTTTAAAGTAATAGAAGAAGTCACAAATCCCTTGACAGATCCTTGAATCTTAGGTATTTTCAAATCAAAGAAGTTTGAACACTTAAAAACAAGTCAAATTGTACTGAAAGATTAATAGTGAAAAATCATCCCCTGCCTTCCTCTCTCCTCCCCAGAGGTAATTATTTTTATCTCTTTCAACATTTTCTTCTACTTTTAATATTTCAATTTCTCATGTAGACATTTTCTGTTAACTTTCTATCATGGAAAAGGAAGATTGAGCTCTTCAGCCATTTTCTATTTCTTTCCCCCCATTCTCTCCATATAATTAAGTCACTATTTTTAATAAATGAAAAATAAGTGTTTATATAATTTTGATTATGTAAATATCATTCAGTGAAAAACCAAGTTGTGTTCTGTAATAGCATTTTTTTCCTTGTAAAACCTTTTGTTTTCCCTGGAGTTAATTATTTCCTTTCTTTTGAAATCATATACTATATTGTCCATACAGCCTTAATTTCTTTTTTTTTTTTTCTTTCTTCTCTAACCCTGTGCTGGGAAGCTTTAATTCTTTTCAAGTATTCTTCTCCTCGTCCTTAAAACTCATCTTATTATGGATTTAGTTTCTCTTATTTATATATTTATGAAGTTATATTTTCTCCTTTAAAAAAAGAAAAGAAAGGAAAACCTGGATTTGAGTCCCATCTTCCCTTTCTTCTCTTTAGAACTCATCTTTTAACCCTCTTTCCGTACTACTCAGGTTTTCTTTCTTTGTAAAAAAGTTCTTTTATCTTTTCTTTCCTTGGGGCTCTCCTAGAATCTTCCTTTTTCCTGCTTCAGTCTGGTTTGCTGGCAGTCTTAACCTTTTGCACTGCAGTAAGCTTTGACTTTCTTTAAGCTGCTTTCCCTAGTTATTTACATTGTTAGTTCTATGCTGTGTGCTTTCTTAAGTTTTCTTTTTTTCTGGAGGCTATTTTTGGTATCTTTTTTTTTTTTTTTTTTTTTGAGACAGAGTTTCGCTCTTGTTACCCAGGCTGGAATGCAATGGTGTGATCTCGGTTCACCGCAACCTCCGCCTCCTGGGTTCAGGCATTTCTCCTGCCTCAGTCTCCTGAGTAGCTGGGACTACAGGCACGCGCCACCATGCCCAGCTAATGTTTTGTATTTTTAGTAGAGATGGGGTTTCACCATGTTGACCAGGATGGTCTCGATCTCTTGACCTCGTGATCTACCCGCCTCAGCCTCCCAAAGTGCTGAGATTACAGGCTTGAGCCATTGCGCCCGGTTCTATTTTTGGTATCTTAAGACAGTTTGTATGGAAAGTAAATTTGAGTCTGTGCAGTTCAGAGTATGCTACTTTTCTTTCTTTCTTTCTTTTTTTTTTTTTGAGATGAAGTCTCACTTTGTTGCCCAGGCTGGAGTGCAGTGGCGGGATCTCAGCTTGCTGCAACCTGAGTTCAAGTGATTATTGTCCCTCAGCCTCCTGAGTAGCTGGGACTACAGGCATGTGCCACCCTACCCTGCTCATTTTTGTATTTTTAGTGGAGATGGAGTTTTTCATATTGGCCAGGCTGATCTAGAACTTCTGACCTCAAGTGATCCACCCACCTTGGCCTCCCAAAGCACTGGGATTACACACTTGAGCCACTGCGCCCAGCCCAGAGTATGCTACTTTTCTGTCCTCACACATGATTGATGGTTTGACTCGGTATAGAATTTTATGTTGAGAATAATTCCCCTAGGAATTTTGAAGATACTTCTCCATTTCCTTCTAGCATCCAGAGTTTTTGGGCATTCTTTACCTAATTTGCTATTCTTCACATATCTTGCTATTCTATTTCTTGTTCCATTAACTTGAAGGCTGGCCTTTCCCCCAACTCCTGGCAGCTTGAATTTCACCAGAGTGTGGCGTGCTATGGATGTTGCAGTGGGACACTTGGGGCTGTTTTAGTTGGAAACTCGATTTTGTGTTTAGTCTTGGAGCTTCTCTGTTATTCTCTTTAGAAGGCCTATTATTTGGGTATCAAACCTCCTAGGTTAATCTTATAGGTTGCTATGGAAATAAGTATTTTTCATCTTAATTTTTTTTCTTCTTTCTGGGTGATCTCTTATCTTCCATGCTTTCTTGCTCAATTTTATTTTCATAGTTGTATTTTAGAATTTCAAATGCCTCTTTGTTTTGCTGTGTTCTCTTTTCATGGCATACCGGGTTTCTCTGTTGGATATTTTCTCTCCCCTTGCCTTGTGTCTGTGGCCCTGCAGAGGGCCGCTTGTTTCTGTGTGTTTTGGATTCATTCATACTGGGTGCTTCCCTGGGTCCAGGGGTCCTTGATTCTTGGCTTGTGTTTAAGAGCACAGCACTTAGAGCTGCCTGCAGTCATGAGTGGGGAGGCTTGGTTACCCAGCCTTCTTTGCATTAGAAGGTCTGATTGACCATTGGCCACTTAATTCGGGGAATCTCCAAAAGACTCACTGGAGAAGTTTTTCCCCTGGGCTCTTCAGGAAGCCTCCTTTGATTCCTCTGGGCCAATGTTCTGCATGAGGGGACAGGGAGTGGTAACTCCCCTAGGGAGATCCCCCTCCCTCTTCTCACCTGGCACAGAAATCTGACCTTTTAACCTGCTTACCTGTGTTCAGCTTCTCATTTAACTTCAGTGGAATCTAGTACCTCCTCTGTTGGGTTTTGGGCCTGTCTCTTTCCTCATCCAGTTCCTCCTGGCTGCATTGTGGGATGTGGCTTCTTCCTCTCAGTCAAGAGTAAGAGTAGTGGACATCTCTGGGGTTACTCTGTAGTCTGATCTTTCCTCTGAGGCCATTGATGCTCCTGTCCCTGTAGCACTGTGAGTGGGGGGTGGGTAGCTAGCTCGTAGGTAGCAGAACTGAGATTTGAACCCAGGTCATGTGATGCCAGTATACTGCCTCCTTCACTGCTGCTCTCACTTCTCTTTTGCAGATGTCCTCGTCCTGTTTATTTGATATCTTTTTAAAAGAGAGGAAATAAAGGAGTGCATTTAGTCAGCTAGCTAGCTTTTTTTCTTTTTTTTTTGTTTAGACAGGGTCTGGCTCCGTCACCCAGGATGGAGTTCAGTGGTACGATCTTGGCTCACTATAATGTCTGCTTCCCACGCTCACGCCATCCTCCCTCACCTGGCACAGAGATCTGATTGATCTTACAGGTTACAGACTCCTGAGTAGCTGGGACTACAGGTGCACACCACCACACTCAACTAATTTTTGCATTTTTATAGTGACGGGGTTTTCTCATGTTGTGCAGGCTGGTCTTGAACTCCTGAACTCAAACAGTCTGTCTGCCTTGGCCTCCCAAAGTGCTGGGATTACAGGTGTGAGGCACTGTGCCTGGCCTGGTTGGCTTTCTTTCCCAGTCAGTTTTGAACCCTATCTGAGTCTCTTTTAAGTTAGTTTCCCTCTTTGGCATGTGGAATGGTAGAGATAAGAAGTATAGGATTTATTTTGAGGTTAACAGGCTCAGACAGCACCAAGGAGAACAACTGCAAAACAGCAATAGATTTGCCTAATTTCATCCCAGATTCTAACTTTCATGTTCTAACATTTTATTTTAAAAACTAGGTCAGAAAAAGAGTGCACGCCAGTATCACGTACAGTTCTTTGGTGACGCCCCAGAAAGAGCTTGGATATTTGAGAAGAGCCTTGTAGCTTTTGAAGGAGAAGGACAGTTTGAAAAATTATGCCAGGAAAGTGCCAAGCAGGCACCCACGAAAGCTGAGAAAATTAAGGTGATAGATGACCCTTCAGTCTACTTCTAGACCAGAAATTTAATTTTTATTCTTTAACTTATTTTTTGTTTTGAACTTATACTTGTTCAAAATATTGTAATGGCTTAACAATCTCTTTCATTGTTGACTTTTGCCCAATAATGCCATGTTACAAAGTTTCTTTAGAGACACAACTTATTTTTTTGCTCATTTGATGACTCCCAGAGATAATTTGTTTTAGAATTTTTATTTTTCTATATATACATATATAGAGAGATTATATTAACGTAACGTGATTGGAATTGGTTTCTGGTTTAAAGAAACAATAAAGGTATTATGTTGGGCTGAATTATAAAATTGGTTCTTACAAGTTTTTTATTTTCTATTTAAACATTTAAAAAAAAATTTTTTTGAGATGGAGTTTCACTCTTGTTACTCAGGCTGGAGTGCAATGGTGCAATCTTGGCTCACTGCAACCTCCGCCCCACCCACCCCGGGTTCAAGCGATTCTCCTGCCTCAGCCTCCCAAGTAGCTGGAATTACAGGTGCCCGCCACCACGGCTGGCTAATTTTTGCATTTTTAGTAGAGATAGGGTTTCACCATGTTGGCCAGACTGGTCTTAAACTCCTGACCTCAGGTGATCTGCCTGCCTTGGCCTTCCAAGGTGCTGGGATGGCTTGAGCCATGCCGGCCAAGTTTTTTGTTTCTAAACTTATGTGAAAATGTGAAAGCATTCTTTGTTTTTTTTTTTTTTTTTTTTTTTTTTTTTGAGACAGGGTCTTGTTCTGACGCCCCAGGCTAGAGTGGTGCAGTGGTGTGTGGTCTTGGCTTATTGCATCTGCTGCCTCCCGGTTCAAGTGATTCTCATGCCTCAGCCTTCTGAGTAGCTGGGACCACAGTCACGCACTACTATGCCTGGCTAATCTTTTTTATTTTAGTAGAGACAGGGCTTTGCAAATTGGCCAGGCTGGTCTTAAACTCCTGGCCTTAAGTGATCTGTCTGCCTCGACCTCCCAAAATGCTGGGATTACAGGCATGAGTCACTGCGCCTGGCAAAAGTTTGCTTCTGTAAAGTGAGTTAACTTTTATGTTTGTGTAATGAAACTTACGGTGTCTTTTTTTTTTTTTTTTTTTTTTTTTTCCCCAGCTATTGAAACCTATTTCAGGGAAATTGAGGGCCCAGTGGGAAATGGGTATTGTTCAGGCAGAAGAAGCTGCAAGCATGTCAGTGGAGGAGCGGAAAGCCAAGTTCACCTTTCTATATGTGGGAGACCAGCTTCATCTCAACCCTCAAGTAGCCAAGGAGGCTGGCATTGCTGCAGAATCTTCAGGAGAAATGGCAGAATCCTCAGGAGTTAGTGAAGAAGCTGCTGAAAACCCCAAGTCTGTGAGAGAAGAGGGCATTCCCATGAAGAGAAGGCGGAGGGCCAAACTGTGTAGCTCTGCGGAGACCCTGGAGAGTGAGCCCAACATAGAGAAGAGTACTCCTCAAAAGACAGCAGAGGCTGACCCCAGAAGAGGTGTAGGGTCTCCTCCTGGGAGGAAGAAGGCCACAGTCTCCACACCACGAAGCAGGAAGGGAGATGCAGCATCCCAATTTTTAGTCTTCTGTCAAAAACACAGGGATGAGGTCAGTACCCTGATGGGTTCTAAGTTATGTTTTATGCTAACACGTTTCTGAATTTGAGGAACATCCCTTCAGTGCAGAATCGTCTGTTTCTCAGCATTATCAGGAAATCTGTAGTGAGCCTTGCATAGATTTTAGATTTAATAAATAAGTATTATTAGGGAACAACCATTCTGACCCTTGAGGGAAAAAATACTTCACTTGCACTCTGGGTTCCTAAAATATCCTTCCTAACGTGGATAAGAAGATACTGAAAACAGGCCAGGCATTGTGGCTCATGCCTGTAATCTCAGTACTTTCGGAGGCTGTGGCGGGAGGATTGCTTCAGCTCAGGAGTTTGAGACCAGTCTGGGCAACATGGTGAAACTCCATCTCTATAAAAATTAGCTGGGCATGGTGCCTGTAGTCCCAGCTACTTGGGAGACTGAGGCAGGAGGATCCCTTGAGCCCTGAAGGCAGGTTTTGCACTGAGCTGTGATGGCACCACTGCACTCTAGCCTGGGTGACAACAGAGCAAAACTGTGTCTCAAAAACAAAACAAAATTGGCACAGAGGGCAGTGGGTCTCATTAGGCTGTGCTTTTCTGGAAGAATGTCCATGTCCTTAATGTGTGACTCCAGGTTAGCATTTTCTCTAGCAGTCTGTTCTGAAGCTTCCAGGGCAGGGGGTATGCTCATCTATAAAGCTCATTGTGTCCGCTGGCCCTGAGGATGGAGGATGTTGATTTATTTTCCTGATATTTAAAAGGACAGCAATGTGATTAAGGCATTTAAATAATTTTCTTAATTTATTTCTAGTTTGCATAAAATACACAGTCTGTTGGTACATAATAAAGGCGGTAAAGAACTGAAGGAGTTGGTTCCCCACTGCCCCACTTTTGGTTGTGTTACTTGGAGTTGATCGTAGTCTAGTGCTTAAAAGGCTTTAGGTGTTCATTTTAATTTTACTCCTGTTGGAATTTTCTATTCAGTAGTTTTAAATCTATGTGGTGATTAAAGGTATCAAAAACAATAGTGTCTGTCTTCAAAAAATTTTCCATGAATTTTTAACCAGCGTGTATTTTGTCAGGCAGCATGGCACAGCAAGGATCCACGAGGAGTTCAGGCAGAGATGCGTAAATGAGTGGCTGTAGGTATTCTAAGATATCTACTGGACATGATTTTTTTGTTCCTATATAGGATCTGGAAATTCTGCCAGAAAAGGGCATTTGAATGATACCTTGAAGATTAACCCATGGCCGGGCACAGTGGCTCATGCCTGCAATTCCAGTACTTTGGGAGGCGAAGGTGGGCAGATCACCAGAGGTCAGGAGTTCGAGACTAGCTTGGCCAATATGGTGAAACCCTATCTCTACGAAAAATACAAAAATTAGCCTGGTCTGGCGGGCACCTATAATCCCAGCTACTTGGAGGCTGAGGCAGGAGAATTGCTTGAACTTGGGAGGCAGAGGCTGTAGTGAGCCAAGATGACGCCACTGCACTCCAGCCTGGGTAACCCACAGGGCTTTTCTCAGGAATGCAAGGGTGGTTTGATGTTAGAAAGCTTTTATTGTGACTTACTGTATAACATAAAATGCTCATCTCCATAGAGGGAGAAAAGACATTTGATAAAATTCATTGCTTTTTTTTTTTTAAGTAAAAACCCCATAATTATGGGATGTATGTGATATTTTGGTACGTGTATTCAAGTTCATTGCTTTTTCTTCTTGGGAGGCTGAGTTGGGGAGGATTGCTTGAGTCCAGGAGTTTTGAGGTTACAGTGAGCTGTGATTGTGCCATAGCTTTCCAGCTTGGGTGACAGATTGAGACTCTGTCTCAAAAAAAGAAAGACTGAGTACAGTGGCTCACATCTGTAATCCCAGCACTTTGGGAGGCTGAGGCAGGATTGCTTGAGCCCAGGAGTTTGAGACCAGTTGGGGCAACACAAAACCCTGTCTCTTAAAAAAAAAAAGTTTAAAAATTAGTCAGATATAGTGGTGTGTACCTGTAGTTTCGGCTGCTTGGGAGGTTGAGGTAAGAGGATTTCTTGAGTACAGATGTTTAAGGCTGCATTGAACTGTGGGCATGCCAGTGCACTCTAGTCTGGGCCACAGAGTGAGACCTGATCTTAAAAAACAAAGCAAGCCGGGCGCGGTGGCTCAAGCCTGTAATCCCAGCACTTTGGGAGGCCGAGGCGGGTGGATCACGAGGTCAAGAGATCGAGACCATCCTGGTCAACATGGTGAAACCCCGTCTCTACTAAAGGTGCAAAAAATTAGCTGGGCATGGTGGCGCGTGCCTGTAATCCCAGCTACTCAGGAGGCTGAGGCAGGAGAATTGCCTGAGCCCAGGAGGCGGAGGTTGCGGTGAGCCGAGATCGCGCCATTGCACTCCAGCCTGGGTAACAAGAGCGAAACTCCGTCTCAAAAACAAAACAAAACAAAACAAAAAATTACTGCTTATTGATAAAATGTTAGCAAACCAGGAATAAAAGAGAACTTCCTATATCTGTTGAAGAATATGTATCAGAAGCTTTCATCAAAGCTATTACTTACTGATGAAACTTTAGAAGCATTCTCTGTAGGCAGGGCATGGTGGCTCACGTCTGTAATCCCAGCACTTTGGGAGGCCGAGGCGGGTAGATCACTTGAGGTTAGGAGTTCAAGACCAGCCTGGCCCGACATGGTGAGACCCCATCTCTACCAAAATTTAAAAAATTAGTTGGGTGTGGTGGTGTGTGCCTGTAGTCCCAACTACTAGGGAGGCTGAGGCAGGAGGTTGCAGTAAGCCAAGATCATGCCACGGCACTCTAGCCTGAGCTACATCTGTCTCAAAAAAAAAAAAGCATTATCTTACAATGTCCGTAATCCCAGCATTTTGGGAGGCCTAGAAGGGCAGATCACTGCAGGTAGGGAGTTCGAGGCCAGCCTGGCCAACATGGCGAAACCCTGTCTCCACTAAAAATACAAAAATTATCCAGGTGTAGTGGCGAGCACTTGTAATCCCAGCATTTTGGGAGGCTGAGACTGGGGGATCACTGAAGGTTGGGAGTTCGAGACCAGCCTGGCCAACATAGTGAAAACCCATCTCTATTAAAAATAAAAAATTAACCAGGTGTGGTGGCTCATGCCTGTAATCCTAGCACTTTAGAAGGCCGAGGCAGGTGGATCATGAGGTCAGGAGTTGAGACCAGCCTGGCTAACATGGTGAAACCCCGTCTCTACTAAAAATACAAAAATTAGCCAAGTGTGGTGGCACTTGCCTGTAATCCCAGCTACTCAGGAGGCTGAGGCAGGAAAGTTGGCGGAACCCGGGAGGCAGAGGTTGCAATGACCTGAGATCACGCCACTGTACTCCAGCCTGGACAATAGAACAAGACTTCATCTCAAAGAAAATACTAGCCCATATTATATAGGAATAAATAAAGCCGTCATTGTTTGCAGAAGTTTATGTAGCAAACTCAAGAGAATATACAGAAAATATTTTAGAATTAATAGAGTTCACAAAATTGGCGGATATAAAATTAACATACAAGTGCAGCATTAAAGAGGAAATGTGATGTTAAAAAAGGTGTCACTGGCCGGGCACGGTGACTGACGCCTGTAATCCCAGCACTTCAGGAGGCCAAGGTGGGTGGATCAGGAGATTGAGACCAGCCTGACCAACATGGGGAAACCTCATCTCTACTGAAAATACAAAAATTAGCTGGGTGTGGTGGCGGGCACCTGTAATCCTGGCTACTCAGGAGGCTGAGGCAGGAGAATTGCTTGAACCCAAGAGGCAGGGTTTGCTGTGAGCTGAGATCACACCACTGCACTCCAGCCTAGTGACAGAGTGAAAACTCTGTCTCAAAAAAAAAAAAAAAAAAAAAAGGTACCGCTGGTAATATAAACAAAAATGTCAGTTACTACAGAATCAACATTATGAAACATGCATGTAACTTTAGAGAAACAACTGACATTTTAGCTGACCCCAGTAAAGATATACGTAGGAAAATTCAAGCTTCTGAAGTTGTTAATTCTTCCATTAATAACGTATAAATTCAGTATAATTCTAATAAAACTTCCAACAGGAATTTCTTAGCCCTTTGTAAGTGGATGCTGATGTGGCCATGTTTGAAGAGCGGCTTGGCCTGAGGACTTGCTCTACCATAGGAAGTTCTGTTATTTAAAATAGCAGTATTCGGCCAGATGCGGTGGCTCAAGTCTGAAATCCCCGCACTCTGGGAGGCCAAGGCAGGCGGATCACCTGAGGTAAAGAGTTGGAGACCAGCCTGACCAACATGATGAAACCCCATCTCTACTAAAAATATAAAAATTAGTTGGGCATGGTGGTATGTGCCTGTAATCCCAGCTACTTGGGAGGCTGAGGCGGGAGAATTTCTTGAACCTGATAGGCCTAGGTTGCAGTGAGCTGAGATTGCGCCATTGCACTCCAGCCTGGGTGACAGAATGAGACTCTGTCTCATAAAAAAATAAAATAGCAGTATTCATGCAGGGCAGTGATAACGGTCTAAGACAGGTCCCATAACAGACTCTTGAGCATATGGACATGGATGGGAAGGGGCTGCAGGCAAGTTGGGTGGGATGTCTGCTCTGTACACGGGACATGTGTACAGAGTGATTTATGGGACCACTGGTGATTTATGAACTTGGTCAGCATGAGAGTGGAGCTTTGTTACCATGAGAGAGGGAAGGATTTCTTAATTAAGCCAAACTGATCACAGGCTACAAAGGAACTATATATGTTAAAATGAAAATCTAGGCCAGTTGTGGTGGCTCAGGCCTGTAATCCCAGTACTTTGGGAGGCTGAAGCGGGAGGATTGATTGAGCCACTGTACTACTCCAGCTTGGGTGACAGAGACCCTGGCTCAAAAAAAAAAATTCTTACATGCCAAGGATACCATGAACACAGTGAAAGGACAAATTCTGTAAAGAGCCCAAACAATTCTGAAGGAAAAGAGGCAATTACAGAAGAGCCTGGAGAGCCAGCAAGTACATGAAGAGATGCTGCTCAACCACGGC